GCAGAAAGAAGTTCTACCCCTTTTCCTTGGCAACTGATGGGGTGAAGAAAGGAAAAACGCGTGCGAGTCTTTTGAAGATGTAAACGCAAGAGAGTTAATAAATGGTGTACTTTATGGATAGCATCTTAAGCCTTAATTTATTAGAAATCAATAATTTTGTTAACAAGTTGGATAGAATTCTTGACCTCATATTTATTAGTGATAACATTGAAGTTTGCCACAATCCGATCACCTCTATATGCATCATGTTCCTCTGCTACTAAAATTTGAATTTTATGTATTCCCGTCTTTCAATGCTGGTGACAAACCTAAGTATAATTATGCAGCCTGCGATTATCCCAAGTTAAATAGATTACTGGGTGAATTAAATTGGGAAACCTTACTCTCTTGCCCCGATGTAGCTAAATGCTTCTGCCTACGCAGAAAGAAGTTCTACCCCTTTTTCTTGGCAACTGAAGGGATGCAGAAAGAAAAAACGCGTGCGAGTCTTTTGAAGATGTAAAAGCAAGAGAGTTAATAAATAGTGTACTTTATAGATAGCCTCTTAGATCTATAAAGTACACCATTTATTAACTCTCTTGCTTTTACATCTTCAAAAAACTCGCACGGGTTTTTTCTTTCTTCATCCCATCACCCTTAATTTATTACAAATCAATAATTTTGCTAACAAGTTGGATAGAATTCTTGACCTCATATTTATTAGTGATAACATTGAAGTTTGCCACAATCCGATCGAAGAGCGTTCATGCTATCGCATTTAGCAAATGTACATTAACGCGAGTTCGAAATCGTATGCTTTTGATAAACAGCCGTGTTCCAGTCGCTTATACAGATCCGTATCTATTACGATCAATGCTCACGCAGACGATAATGTGTAAAAAACCCTACTGAAAAGGAAAAAAATAAATTTTAAACCAAAAATTCAATACAAAAACTTGAATTGTTTTAACCATAACCGAACATTTGTTTGTGTATATATTCGTTTGTCAGTGCTGTCAATTAAAATTTCCGCACTTAATTAGGAAGCAAAACAGAATTGATCCAGATTTCTATCAGCATCACATCGAAGTTGAATTTGCGTAACTTTTCTTTATCCAAATTATGTAAAATAATAAATAAAATCTCGATCGGCGATCACTGAAACGCAGCTAGCCACTGTATACGCGGAAAAGCAATGCTGCCACTTTTTCTCATTAAACCATGTTCGAATCGTGGAAATTTTGGAAGATCACAGGGTTGCTTTTAGCATTTAGATTCTTAATGCAAAAATTGAGTTGCATTTGGTGACGAATTTCGTATGGATAAATGTACATTTACAGGTCTATTCTGCACGTTACCGAAGATTTTGTAACCGGAAAATTTTATTACCAAAAAATATTACCAGTTCTTGTCACCGCGATTCTAGGTACGTTGGTAATGCAGTTAAAATATTCAGGAATTCAGCTATGAAGAATTGTGAAAATTCTTGCATTGCATATTTCACGGGGTAATAATTTGTTACCAGCTTATGAGATGGAAACAAAATTTACCGGTTACAAGAGTATACAGAATGCGAAAAGGGTTTAAAAATTGACAGGAACTTTATTTACCGGTTACAAACATTTTATTACCAGCGCAGAATAGACCTGTAACAGGTTACCGAAGATTTAGTAACCGCGAAATTTTATTACCAGAAAATGTTACCAGTTCTTGTCACCGCGATTCTAGGAACGTTGGTAATGCAGTTAAAATATTCAGCGATTCAGCTATGAAGAATTGTGGTAATTCTGGCATTGCATATTTCGCGGGGCAATACTTTGTTACCAGCTTATGAGATGGTAACAAAATTTACCGGTTACAAGAGTACACAGAATGCGAAAAGGGTTTAAAAATTGACAGGAACTTTATTTACCGGTTACAAACTTTTTATTACCACCGCAGAATAGACGTGTTAGAGTAGCATTTAGAGCAAAATGCGCTAAA